ACACACACACAGACAACCTCTCGTCAATATGCGTTTTTTGCATTACATAGCTGCAAAAAACGCATAAAAATAATTGGTTAAATGATTTGAGAATTGCATGTCTGCTGATGTTACTGGGGAAGCTCCACAAGCTGGTCAGAGCTATGTTTTGTGTGTATGCGTATGCGTGTGTGTGTCTGTGTTTACATATTTATGTCCTGCACATTTTTTCCGAATTTTCAGCCCGATAAGTCTAGTTGACTGAAATTTTTTATGCCCATATGTGACCCTGAAAGTTTGAATTGGATTTTTGCATATGTCCATATTTTAGTTATGGAAAAGATTTCTAGTCCTGGGATCGAGGAAATCTTCTGTGATAATTCGATAGCCGGGCAACATTTCGACGAATTTTGCGGGCATCATTAACTGCGAGCGTCTGCTGGATAGAACTGCGCAAAATGCATGATCACAGCGGTTATACTGGCGTACGCCATTGTTTATTACTTTAGCAATAAATCAGTGGGATGTCAGTTTTCAGAATAGTAAAACAAATTCCCGGAAAAGCAAAACAACCGGTGGTGATGCAATCAGAACTGTGGATCAATGTTATCGGACTAATTTGCGGAATTTGCGTTATCATGCTTCTTATATTCAAACTCGGGCGAAAATCTTTCAAATGGTACACGCTCAACGTCCTAGTTGCCTTGAGCATCACCCAATTTTTTGCAGTTATAACTGTGATATGCCAAAATCAGAACGAAGAAGTGATGGAAATGTTGGTTTTAATTTCGAAAATTAGTTTTGAGAAATATATCAAGTAGGTAAAATCACTAGCACGGGGTACGCACATTCACTGTGCCGGCGGCTTTGTTAATCCTGATATTAGTAAATCATGGAGCTAAGTGTCATAGAAATTTTAAAGATATAAACAGTGAATATCTCTGGCAAGGTACGCGGCCCAGGATCAAACGGCCTGTTGCAGCGCCAGCTACTCTCTAACGGTACTTCATTAACACTACATCGGTCCTACGAGCGATTGCGGCCTTGAAATCTGGTATAATGAAGGGCGTGATCTACAAAGTCTCTTTCGCATTTGCTCTGCTAACCCATTTCGCAAAGAAGCAGGCGGAGAAGAAGCCTCTCGTCCTTTGTGCCTGGGATTCCTTGCAACGTTATCATAACTAATAACGATATAAATAAAATGTGAATTATAATAAAAAATACTCAGATGAACAAAAATATTCCAATGCACAAAGTTGAATCGTTGTGGGCGATTTGGGTATTTCTTTATCCTCATTCTTCTTTTTCCGTTCATTTCTCCTCATTTTCTCCATCTTCACTGGCAGCTTTAAAAAGCTGCTGTGTGAGACTGAGAATCTTGATTCGCATATAATTGGAAACATTTAAGGTTAGTGTCGGGTGTCGGGATGTGGTCATTCTCGCTGGTGCGTCTCGTAATGCTTTGCTCGCTGCTAGAAATTTATTGCATTTATACATTTCAAAACAATATTCTGTCACGATTTTATCAGAGGTTGGTTCACATCTTAACGCTGTTTTTATTGAAAGGAACAGCTCTAAAAAAAACCTAGAGATGTGCGGGATGGATACTAGTGCCGAGTTCCTGATATGAACAAGACATATACAATTGAAAACGCAAATACAAGTTCGTATACAAAATCGTACAAAAATGCATGATCGGATCAGCACCACAGTGCGACTAGCTATTTATCAACCCAGTGCTTTTATCTTACCAAATCCGATGAACTAATCTAAAAGCACAACTGGATTGCAGGGTTTGGCTTCCGCGCATACTGATGAATATTATTGCCGTTTCACTTAGTACTATGGTAGTGATGGCATTCGGTTTTGATTTAATGGCTGATTTGGCTACAGAATTGTATTGCGCCATATCTCTTACACTCTATTTTACAGCGGTAGTCGTCCTGTGTCTGGTAATTTAAAGTTACCTCTGTAGATTCTTTTCTACGCGTGCTAAAATTCAAGGACATCTGCGTATGTGTTGTTTTCTTCTGCCTCCCTTTTGCGTTCGACAGAAAGTAGAAACGTAAAACAACTTGGCACCATAAAAGTGCATGTGATCCTGAAAAAGATCGTCAAGTTCTTAATCATATTTGCCAAAGTTTCGCAAAATATAGCGCAAATATCTAAATTTTGCATCAGTTCGATGCTTATTCACGTAGGCAATTCGATGTTTTCCGCAACTAAAATCGCTCAAAGGGTGTCGAAAATAGCCGAACAGTGTCGCAATCTCTCAGCGAGAAAACTTTCAAAAGAAAAAAAACAGCGGTTTACCTAAGCTACTACCTTTTGCGCAGTTCGCCTACACAGAGGCTGGTTCGGGTAGACACTTCCAAATTTCTTCGGGTAGGTACTTCCAAAC